CTTGTCCACAGTTTCACTTTCCACAGGCTCAGTTACCTGTAGTCAACTACAGTCTGAAAATATTAAGTGGAAAATTCCAGAAATAAACAAATTCATGATTTTTACATTAGGCACCGTTCTGAGTATCATGATGAAATCTCAATACCAGTCCTGTCTGTCCTGAATTATCCCTTTGTCCAGAGTATCCACACTGTATACACGACTTACCTATTAGTTAGTAACCATTTTGGTTATCAGATCGACTGTCTTGGTGTTGGAATTGCATTGCTTTCATTCAAGTGACCCTTATTTAATAATGGCCCCAAAGTGCAAGGGTAGTGATGCTGATGATTTGGATATTCACTTCCTTCAAGTGAAAAGGTTAAAGTACARTAAGATTTTATAGATAGATATAGATAGAYGTAGATATAGATAGAGAAAGAATAGATAGAGAGAGCGCCCACGCACACCCTTGTGCAATAGATAGATAGAGAGAGAGAGAGAATAGATAATCTGAGAGCCCGCCCTCGCGCACCCATGTGCCAGCCAGGGGAAAGGAGACCACATTCACTTAACTTGTATTCTAGTAGGTTGTCATAATTGTTCTATTTTATTAGTTATTGTTAATGTCTTCATGTGCCCAATTTATAAATTAAACTTTATCATAGTAAGTCTGCATAGAGTTTCCATTGTCTACAGTTTCAGTCTTCCATGGGGGTCTTGGTTTTACAGAGATAAGTAGGGATAATTGCACCAAGAACAGGACCAAGAACCAGTGCAGGAGTGTTAGAAAAATGGATGGACAGATGGATGACAGGTATCCTGCATCAGGACAAAGAGCAGGAAGGGCTAGCTGAAGCCAAAAGGCTAGATGGAATTACCCAAGCTTTATGAGTCTATAGAGAGAATTTGGGAATTCTTTTCCTCGGTGTGTATCTTGCTCAACTGTGGCCTTCAGTCACTGGTGTAATCTGAGCCCAGGAGTTAGGATGGAGATGGCCCCCCTTCTGTGTCCAGCTCTCCTCAACTTGTGCAGTGGGGAGAGGGAAGTAGCCCAGGGTGGGGGACCAGGTAGAAAGAAATGTTCTCATGCCAGGTGTGCTAATGGGGGTCATGCTGCGTGTGCCTGGCATTATGACAACAGACATTGAAGACACTCAGGTAGTGGGCAGAACTGAACTGAAGGTACGTGGGTGTAAGTGGAGAGGGAGGCAGGAGGCAGGTGCCAAGGTGCATTGCCAGGCTAGCCCCACCCCTCTTGCCCTCTGTTTGTGGGCATTTCCTCTGTCTGTTCTCTGCCTGTTCATTTGAGACCTACCAGATGTCTCTGGTCATGACAGAAATTTCTACCTTCTGTGGGTCAGCAGCCTTGACCCACTTATCCTGACCCCATGGTCCTTAGGGRAAGTCTGTGCACTGGGGCTCAGGGTAGCAGAGGTGAAATGAATCTGTGCAGAATAAGAGTGTGGCATAGGCTGAGTAGGAAGCACTAAGGAACAGTGAAATGGCAAGTGTGTGTCCATCGAAAGGTGCCACTGAGCTCTGCCTGTGTTGCCTGCTAGGAACACACACCTGGTGCCACCCAATGTGTGGATTTTTTGAGAGAAACTGCAGGGGTTGGGGTGCAGCKCATGGGTAGATCAATTGCCTAGGATGTGTGAGGCCCTGCATTCCATCCCCAGCTCCACAGATTAAAAAAAAAAAAAAATTGAGAGAGAAGCTAGGAATTCAAATGTGAATGTGAAATCTTTTGTAAATATATAATTTTAAAATGCTTCAGCGTCATAGGAAATAAACAAGTGTATCTGAGGACCGGGCCCTGGGTGGGGTGAATGGGAGGAGGGGCTCTGGRCCTCAGGACTAGCCCAGGCCACTCTAGGGCTGGTGGACAGGCCAGGATGCTATTAAAGGTGGGCCCTGGATCTCTTGGAACTGGCTGTTCCCAGGCAGCCATCACTGACCACCCCTGTGCCAAGGCTGTGGACTGGTCCTGGTCCCCACACTGGCAGATGGGTGGGGCAGCTTGACTTACCCACCAAGTCCCAGGAAGTGGCAGCTTTCCCTCCTTGCCAGCATTGCCACCTCTGCTACTTCTGCCAGGGGCCCAGATGACCCATGTCCTTSGGATCTGCTCTGAGGAAACACAGGAGGAAAGAGGGCAGGAAGACTGGGCTGYGGGGAGGATGGTGGGTGTAGATACACAGTGTGGGTGACATTCTCCGCACCTGCAGCCAGACTCCCTGCGATCAAATTTTGACCTGCCATATGCAAAATGAACTTGGGTACATTCTTAAATCCCTCTGCCTCTCAGTTTGCTATTGGTCAAGGTGATGTTGATGACAGTGATAATCCCAAAGTCACCAAGCTCAGTAGCTTAGATGTTGACAYGTGTACAGTGCTCAGAACAGCTCCTGGCGCCACAGCACTGTGTGCTAGCGACTTCAAAGCACCCCCTCACTCACCCATGTCCTCCCATGTGTGCGCTCACTTGCACACACAAGCCTGCATGCACACTGTGCACACGCATGCTCAGATATATGAACACAAGCACAAATGTTCACACACACACACACACACACACACACACATACACTTCACTCTAAGCATTGATGGCATCCACCAGGTGCAGCCCACGTGGACATTTTTCTAGAAAGGAGGAGTCTTTTCCCCTCAGTTCTTTGTGCTTTGTCTTTGGATTGAGAAGGTTGAGGATCAACAGTTGAGTCCTACTGTGTTCCAGACACTGTATTAAGGATCGAGGTATCTTTTCTGTGTGTGTGTGTGTGTGTGTGTGTGGTGCTGGGGGTGGGATGCAGGGCCTTGTGCCTGGAGACAAGCACTCTACCACTAAGCTGTATCCCCAACCCAGGGACTCTGTATCTTATTTCATAACAGCCCTGCAGAGTGGAGGGAAGTAGGCTGCCAGAGGACCAGTTGAACCCCTCAACTAGCTGGCTCACCACCCAACTCCTGAGAAGCCATATGCCTGGACAGAATGGTGCTTTGGCATTATGCCCCTGGCACATCCCCCAAACTGCCCCACAGGGAAGGTTTCTGCATTGTGGATGTGAATAATATCAAGAACTGCAAAGACTTCGCTTAGGGCCGAGCAAGAGAAGTCTGTTTCTCCTGCTGCTCAGTGGCAGGGTAGAGACCTTTCCAAATCTCAGCTCCTTCCACTCTTTGCCTGGGCTACCAGGAACCTCTTATCCCCACTGTGTGCTTGCTTGTCGAGGGTTTTCTGTTAGAAGTTCCTCTGCCTTCTTCCTCTCTCACTCTTCTTCTGTCCTTCATTTGTTGTCTTATCCTGTATTTGGATCTTCTTCCGTGTCTGTCTATCTGTGTGTGTGTGTGTGTGTGTGTTTTTAAACAAATATTATTGAACTATAGCATACAGAAAAGTATACAAGTCATGGTAGTGTGCAGCACAACAACTTTTCTCAAAGTGAACACAACTGGGTTAGCAGTGCCAGGTCCAGAACAGCATTACCAGCACCCAAAAGTCCTCAGAAGGTTCTGGCCATTGACCCACCCAGAGCCATGTGCTGCCTGACGGCACCAATCAGTTTTCAAACTTCTTATGAATCAAATCATGCAGTGTGAACTCTGGGCTGGCTTCTTTTGTTTTTATTGTGCTGAACTTTAAAGCTAACATATAACTGAGCATCTTCTTAACCCTTTTAAAAGTAGGTGGTAGTGGCATTAGGTACATGCGTAGGGTCGTGCGGCCATCACCACCATCCATCTCCAGGCCTGTCATCCTGCCAATTGAAGCACCCTACTCACCAGACACTGACTCCCCATACCCCACCCCCGGCCTCTGGCATCCCCTTCCACCTCTTTCTGTGAGTGTGACTACTCTAGCACCCTACTAAGGGGAGTCATATGGTGTCTGTCCTGTGACTGGCTTACTTTGCATAATATTCTCAAGGTTCATCTGTGTTGTAGCACGTATCAGAATTTCCTTCCTTTTTAAGCCATGATCCATGGTATGTATATGTCCTTTTTTAAAAAACCCATTCGTTCTTTGAGGGAACCCTGAGTTCCTTCCACATTTCAGTTTGCTGAAGTGTGCTGCTGTTCACATGGGTGTGCAAGTCTCAGATCCTGCTTTCAGTTCTTCCTAGTATATACCCAGAAGAATTGCTGGCATATATGGCACAGTAATTCTGTTTATAGTTTTGTTTGTGTGTGGGTGCTGGAGATTGAACCCAGGGCACCCTACCACTGAGCTGTATCCCTAGACCTTTAAAACACATTTTTWAAAAAAATTTTGAAACAGGGTCTCCTTAAGTGGCCCATGCTGGCCTCAAACTTGTGGTCCTTCTGCTCACTCAGCCTCCTAATTAGCTTGGATTACAGGCCTGCACCACGGTGCCTTGGCTATTTTTAATTTTTTAAGGAACACCACGCTGCTTTTCAGAGTGGCTGCACCATTTCACGCTCCCACCAACAGTGCACAAAGGCTCCAGTTTCTCACATCTTTACCAACACTTTTTATTTTCTGTTCTTTGACCAGAGCCATCCTGCTGTGGGTGGGGGGGTGGCTTGCGGCTTTGATGTGCATTTCCCTAATGATTAGTGATGTTGAGTCGTGATTCTGGTTTTCACATAGTGTGCCCTCTGTCTGATCCACTGAGCTGTCCTCCTTCACCATGCCCTGGTGAGAACCCCCCGTGAGCCCTCACCTCGTTCTGTTGATGGGTACTGGATGGCTTCCCATTGGGATTGACTGCAAAACCAATCAATAAAATGGATCACACAAGCTCCTCGGGGCCATTTGCTCCTGGCATGGATGAACTGCGTGGACTAGGCCACATTCCCACTGCTGCGTCCTGCTCTTTGTCCCAGCAACCTCGGGCCCAGTCTCCTTGTGTGTCCTCCCAGTGTCTAATTTGTGTAGTCAGGAGGATCCTCCTTTGGCCCTAAAAGCACCACACCTGTCCTCCACTGTCCAGAGCACCCCTCTGCCTCTGCTTAGTGGTGGGCAGCGGGTGTGAYCAGTACTTCTCTGTGTCTAGGGATCTTTGGGCAGCGACTGGAGGACACGGTCCACCATGAGCGGAAGTATGGCCCCCGCCTGGCCCCACTCCTGGTGGAGCAGTGTGTGGACTTCATCCGGGAACGTGGGCTCACTGAGGAAGGGCTGTTCCGCATGCCAGGCCAGGCCAACCTGGTGAGGGACCTGCAGGATTCCTTCGACTGTGGAGAGAAGCCTCTGTTTGACAGGTGAGCACTGGGGGCCCGGGAGGTGCAGCTGGAGGCACCTGTCCAGCCATCCTGCAGGGCTGCTCCTCAGGCATCAGCTCCATTGTGCAGGGGTGAGCCAGGAAGCCTGGCCACAGGGCAGTCGATGCGCTCTTTGCCCTTGTTGGCATTTGTACGCTCAGCCAGCCCTCCAGGGGGCAGAGCGTAGGCSGCAGAATTCCTCTAGCAGCCTTGAGGCTCCTCTTTGGGATGGATGCAAACAAGGGCCCCACAAATAAGGGCAGCTCATATCCATCGGGCTGCTTTTCCAGGTCATAAACCCAGGCAGAAGCAAAGAAGGGCCTCCGCTGGCTGCCGGGCTAGACCAGTGTAGGCACAGATTCATGCAGGACTCCARGCTTGCTGCCGGCTGTGCCTCTTCTGGGTGATTCACCCCAGGCTCCGTCAGTGGCAAGTGGTACAGCCGCTCCACCCCAGGCTCTCTCAAGTCTCAGGCAAGGGAGCCAGTCTCCACTACCTGGCTCCGTCTGTGCCCATCCCAACCCATCACTGGGGCTTACCCACATCCTAGGTGCATTTCCTAGGTGGAGACAACTACATCTGTAGCCCAGAAACTGAGAATGAGAGCGGTGTGGCTTGCCTTCCCCAGGGATGTGGGGGACTCCCTTCTCCCTGATCGGATCTCGGGCAGTTTTTCATAACAAAGTTCTTGCCTCAGGCCAACCCAGGTCTCCCTGGAGCTTCCGCCCCGTCTGAGGTCTGTGCCTAAGACTTGGCCCCTCTGCTTCAGGAAAGGTCTGGGGATACTCATGGGCAGCCCTGACCTTCCCAGGTCTTCTTCTCTCTGGGTAGAACACCCTCAGCCCTCCAGCTTCTGCCCGGGCCCCTCACCACCTGCAGAAGTTTGTCAGTTCCTTTCTTTAGATGTAGAGTCCAGGACCGACCGACCACTGTTCCCTACAGATGGTCTGTGGTTTATCCAGGGAAGGCCAGTGGTCCCCTCCCCTAGAGCCTTGTGAAGTTCTATCCCAATGCTGGCTATTTTTTTTTTTTTTTTTGGTACTGGGGCACTTAATCCAGGGGCACTTAGCCACTGAGCTACATCTCTAGCCTATATAAATGTATACACACACACACACACACAGACACATATATATGTACTCATATATATATACATAAATATATATATTTATAAAGTATTTTAAAATAGATTTATATAAATATATTCACATATTTATATATACATATGTATGTATATGTATTTTAGTTGTAGATGGACACAATACCTTTATCTGTTTATTTATGTATTTTTGTGTGATGCTAAGGATCAAACCCAGTGCCTCACACATGCGAGGCGAGCGCTCGACTGCAGAGCCACAACCCCAGCCCCCATCTCTAGCCCTTTTTATATTTTATAGAGAGACAGAGTGTCACTGAGTTGCTTAGGGACTCACTAAGTTGCTGAGTCCGACCTTGAACTCATGACCCTCCTGCTTCAGCCTCCCAAGCTCCTGGGATTAGAGGTCTGGACTAATGCTGACTCTCAATGAGCTTGTGGTCCATCTTGGACCTCCACCAGCCAGGCCTCTTTTGTCCTATGCAGGCTGATATCAGGGTTGGAGATTGCTTCAAGTGAATGCTGCATAGTTAGGGGCCTGGGAATCAGATTTTAGAAGCTCCCCGAGGATCAGATGCACTGTGCTAGTGCCTGATTTTACCAAAAGATTCTCTGTGAATGCGAATCAGACCTCCCCACTCCCCTACTCAGACGTCACTGGGATGGGCTTACTGGCGTGGCCACAGGCCTTCCACACGTCACCCACCCTGCATGCCTCCATCTTGGCACAGTGCTGCCCTGTGGTGTGGTTCCAGGTGGGCTGGGCTGGGCTTTTCTCCCTTCCTGGCCCGTCTTTTGAAGCCCTGCTGGAGAGACTACCAGATGCCCACAGAGACTACCGTCTCCACAGCCCTGGCTTGCAGACCCAGGACCCCAGCCTCTTAGCAGGGCCGGGCAGACCATCCCTGTATGCCCAATGGACCTCCCCTGTCTGTCTTCTCCCTTTCTGACCACTTCTACTCCTCCTCCAGGGATTGTAACCCGAGGCTCATCGTCCCAGCTGGATTTCTCAGGCTTCCCAGCTGCTCTTCTGTTTTAGCAGTATCCCCCCATACAACCCTGACTGCCATTTATAAATTCCCTCCCCCTTTAAAAATTCTTCCTGGGGTACCTGAAACCATTCTCTTCTTCCTAGTATCCCCTTAGCAGCCCTGGCTCAGTAGCTGTGTCTGCCTGCCCAGGAGGGTCCCAGCTCCCCCTCTTGCCCACATGCCTACAAGGCAGCACTCCCTCTCCAGGCTACAGCTCCCTGTGCTCTCTGCATAGCCTCCCTGCCAATTGGGGTGTTGGCTTCTGCCCTTGTCCCCTCCACCAGGAAAACCCCTCCTCATCTTCCTGCTCATCTGCATAAGAATAGCCACTGAGCTCCTGGTCCTGGGCCCCTCCCCCATCAGTACCTTCACCAGGATGGAAGCATGGTGACCCAAGCTGCCCCATGCCTGTCCCTCCCACAGTACCTCTCCTGGGCCTTCGCCTGTGGCAGCTGTCCTGGTGCTGTCCACTTTGTGGCTGGGCGCTGAGGAGGGTCTCCTCTGTACCAGAACCTGTGGAACCTGGCAGCATCCCTTTCTGATGGTTCAGCATCTCTCCCTGGTGTGAGAAGCACCTTGGAAGGGGTCAGTGAACCAGACACATGAGGTCTGTGCCCACCTGCAGCTGACTTCCTMAGGGGTCTGGCAAACAAAACAAGCGAATATGTTCAGGAACCCCTGCCCTGACCCTGAGAATCAATAGGGAACCAATAGGGTATATGACGGAGTCCCCGGGACAGGCAAGCCCACAGGGTCATGGGCTTTAGGGGTGGGAGAGTTCTCAGATAGGAAGCCTGCCCAGGCTGCAGAATGGATTGTTTTCCTTTGCAGGACAGGGCCAGGTAGAAGAGGTGGGGCAGTGCCATCAGAAGCCATCAGAAGTTATAGGGTGGGAAATGTGAGCCCCACCATGTTGGGGTGTGTGTGTGCATGTGAATGGATTCTAGGGGAATGTGGCATGTGGGGAACAGTCAAGAGGCTTCAGCCATGTTCTGATGGAGGCTRGTGTTGGCATGGGTGAGAAGGGTCCTTGGGAAGGAAGGGATGACCCAGAACCTGCAGAGAAGGAACTGGCCCAGGCTGATCTGCCTCACTGCACCTCGGCAGCTGATGTGACCCAGGTCAGGTCTGCTGGGTGACTGTGTCTGCTCCGCCCTGCACCCAGCTCCCTCCACCAGCGGCTTGTGTGTATGCCGAGAGGGACAGGCTGGTGGGTGCCCGCTGTGCCCTGGGCTGTGGAATGTCCTTGGGTGCTGGCATCAGCAGGGGACTGAATTCACAGTGGGTGTGGGAGGGGAATTCAGGAGCAAGTGTGAAAAAAGCCTCGGGGCTGCCATTGAAGGAAGGGCCTCAGCTGTGCCAGGAAAGGGGGGCTGAGGAAGACCAGGGAGGACCTGCGAAAGTCAGGGTGTGGGCAACGGCCAGGGCCTGGGCACAGAAGGGCCTGCAGGGCACTGGGACCAGGGGAAGGGGCCTTAGGCAAGGCTGGCAGAGTACAGGGGCTGCACTGCCTCCAATGGCCCCCTAGCACCTGCGGAAGTTGGGGAAGAGTGACGGCTGACTCGCCTCCATTTTTCTCTCTAGACACAGGTCTCTCTGCAGGACGCCCCGATGGTCCTCCCTGCCCTCCCCCATCCTCCCCAGGCTCCCGCTCAGGCAGCTGCTGCCACTGAACTCATAAGGGCCCAGAGAGAAAGGGGCCCCTGTGTTGGACCCAGCACCTAATAGGGCTGTAATCACGCTGGGGCATCAGTGGCAAAACCGGCTCTGGAGAAGGCAGTAGAGGGTGGGTAGCAGCTTGCTTGGCTGGAGAGGGAGGTCTGGCAGGATTGGGAGGCTGTTTGACCCTGAGCAGACCAGGAGTCGCCAGACCTGAGGCACAGAGAGGGCCTCAGGTGTATGGATTTGGGGGAGGTGGGCATATGAAACCCTAGAATCCCAAATGTCAGAGCTGAAAGGGACACCAGTGCCTATCTCAGGGAGGYCACAGGGGACTTGGCCAGTGCCAGGTGTGGCCTTTATGGCACAGCCACAGATTCCCTGCCTCAAGCCATCTTTSCTGAGAGCCTCTCATGAGGGCCAAGCAGGTCTAGGACTTCAGTCTAGGCCAGAAAATTGGATAAGCCCCAGGGGTCCCAGATCCTGCTTGAAATGCAAGCACGGAGTCGAGGCCAGCTGAAACCTAGGTGCTAGGCCATGGAACCCCAACAGGACGCAGCCTGTGCAGGGGAGGCCGCCTGCCTTCCAACTCGCCTGCACAGACAGGTGACTCAGTTCTGAGTAGGTGTCTGGGCATAATGAGTGTTTCCCGGCTGGAGCTCCAGCCACACAGCCTCGGTGCTCACCCCACTGGACACCTGTCTGCACCTGGACCTTTAGTYGGCCAGTGGCAGCTGGCTGGGATGGAGCCCCACTACGTGCACACATGTGGGCCATCGAAGACCAGAGGCTGTTCTTGGGGAGTGGGGCATGAGTGTCACTCCTGCAGCTCCCTGGGGTCCTGGCCTCACCCCTGTTTCCTCTTCCGTCCCCAGCACCACAGATGTGCACACGGTGGCCTCCCTGCTGAAGCTCTACCTGCGGGAGCTCCCTGAGCCCGTGATCCCCTTCGCCAGGTACGAGGACTTCCTCAGCTGCGCCCAGCTGCTCACCAAGGACGAGGGGGAGGTTAGTGCCTCCTGGGGACCCATCCTGGGAGGTGGACTGGTGGGTGGTGGGTCAGGACACAAATTCCTGGACACATGGCTTTCAATGGCACACGGCTCCTGGGCTGAAGACTGCTGTTTGTGTGAGTGGGTCGCTGGAGCATCCTGCTGTCTTTGTAGGGCCCTCCCCGCATGTCGAYGTAAGTGTCTGGGAGGGATAGGTTCCCTCCTAAAAAGGGATGCTGGTCTRGGGTGCCCAGCTCTGGCCACTTGCAGTGGGTGTTTCTATGCTATGGCCTTCTCCCATGCCTGCCTCAGGCCACCCAGACCTGCCCTGGGGCTCCGTAAAAAAGAGACCTTTGACCTATTTATATCCTGTCTCATTTGGAGAGAATTTGAGATAGTTCTCAGGACAGAGGGTCCCTGCTCCCTCACCGCATGCAGGTGCAACCCTGGKCAGCTGGGGCAGGGGAAGCACTGTTTGCCTTCCCTGTGGCTGCGTTGGAGATGAGGGCTGTTATCTGGCAAATATTTGTGTCTYGATAAGTGAGCTGAGACATTCCTCTGTGACCTGGCAAGAGGCTCACCCCTCACACCAGCTCCCAGAAAGGAAATCGGCCTTCCCGAGAAGTCACAGCCTGGCTCCACCCCTCCATGGGGGGGCATGGAGGTGGTCATCTGAGGCTGGGCCCCCACCTCTCTGACCCTGGTCCAGCCCTTCCCCCAGTCAGACAAGTCCCTCACTGCTAGTGTTTGAAATCCTGTGTTCTTCTTCTTCTTTCCCAAGGGGACTCTGGAATTGGCTAAACAAGTGAGCAACCTTCCCCAGGCCAATTACAACCTGCTCAGATATATCTGCAAGTAAGTGGCATGGGGGTGGGAGGCCACCCCTCCTGGCCCTGTGTGTATCCCTTGCTCCCCCATAGACACGCTGTCCTTTGCAGAGGARGCCTGGGTCACTCACCCATTCAGCACAGCTTTGGCAAGCGTTGGTGTGGCAGGGAGCACAAAAGAACCCAGAACMCGAGCTCAGAGAGCTGACAGTTCCTTGAAAGTCGGCAGCTTCATCAGTCCCAAGTGGATCATTCTGGAAGACATACCCTCTGCCCTGGGCACCTCTCACCATCCCATCTCTCAAGCATGTGCCCCTTGATCACCACCCTTCATGTGTCATCCTAGGCCCTGGCAGGGGGCATGCGTGGGTAGCTCTCACCCAGCCCCATGCCTAGAGTTGCAGCTAGCTGTGCCCAGCAACCATGGAAGCCCGYGGGAGGCCTGGCCGGGTGTGGGAGTGTGCCTGGACGTGGGGTGGGTGTGGCTGGTGAGCAGAGCATAAAGGACCAAGAGTCTCAATGCAGGCTGGATTTCAGATTCCACTTCTTCACCAATTGCTCCTTCCTTGCTGTGCAGGTTTCTGGATGAAGTTCAGTCCCATTCAAATATCAACAAGATGAGTGTCCAGAACCTGGCAACTGTTTTTGGACCTAACATACTACGGCCACAGATAGAGGATCCGGTGACCATCATGGAAGGTAACAGGGGAGCTTCTTGGGGTRTCAGGTGCTTCTGGGTCAGTGGTCATCTTTGTCCAGGGTTCGTCTTTAGAACCAGCACAGAGCCAGGCCAAGGGGAAGGTACCTTAGATGGCTGTGCCTGTCTCTGGGGACTTAGCTGGAGCCTCTTGAGACCCCACCCCCTTGGGGTCTGGCTGTAAAAGGAACTTCACCCTGTGACTGTTAGCAGCTTTCACTGGACGTCATTGGAACGGCCCCCAGTTACTGTGGTGGAGAGGGAGAGGTCAGTGCCCTTGCCCTTGAATACAGACATTTTTTTTTTTTTTTTTACTTTGATGATGAAGTCATTGTCCTAGATTCCTGGGTGTCGGAGCTTTGAAAACCCCCGGGGAATTTTTCTTGATGATAACAAATAATATATATATATATATTTTTTTTAAGAAAAGCAACATAGAGAGACTAAGGCTGTAAGGTCATCTGAGCCCAGGGGTTTGAGGCCAGCCCAGGCAACATAGTAAGACCTGGTCTAGAGAGAAAGAACGGGGGGAAGTAGAGAGAAGGAAAAGAGCAGCGTGGCTCTGGTTTCAGTGTGCCTCGCTTTCCTCTCCTTCGCACCCCATCACTTGCTTTCCGTCCTCTAAGCAGCCTGTGCTGTGGTGATCCCCCTGATTGTCTAGATGAGGAAACTGAGGCTAATGGGTGAGGTCAGCCAGCCACATTTAAAGGGCACAGGCCTAGGCTGGCCTGGAAATGCACGCCTGTGCTCACGGGCCCCTGGGGAGACTGAGTTAGTGCTGGAGTCCCGAGTCCTGCTGTTCCCTCACCAGGCAGACAGGTTCCTCCTGAGGTTCTCGCTGACAGCAGAGGCTGGCCAGGACTCACACAGTGACAAACACCAGTGGGGGCCAGACCATCCTGGCCCCRGGTGAGCAGAAGGCCAAGTGCCTTGCTGAGCCTGACTGGGGGAGCTGTAGTAGTATTGGGGTGAGTGAAGCTCCTTGGTTCTCCCTCTGCCTAGGGTGTAGCCTCTACTTTGGCCCTTTGCTCAGGCCTCTGTGTTGGCCTGATTCTCCTGCTCCAGGGAAATCCCACGCTCCCACCTGCCTGGCTGCACAGATGCCCAAGGGTGAATACCTACCCACCTACCTTACTGAATTCCTGCTTCATCCAGTTTTCTTTTTTTTTTTTTTAATTTTTTTTATTATTAGTTGTTCAAAACATTACAAAGCTCTTGACATATCATATTTCATACATTTGATTCAAGCGGATTATGAACTCCCATTTT